ATGCCTGGTTGAATATCGAATTTATACAATCAAATATTACTTTCAGAAATTGAGAAATTGGATATAATTGTCAGTTTTATAGCATATAATAGGATTTTTAATAGATATATTTAACAGATTTTACTAAGTTGGATATATTTAGATGCCTGGTTGAATATCGAATTTATACAATCAAATATTTTATGATCACTTTCAGAAATTGGATATAATTGTCAGTTTTATAGCATATAATAGGATTTTTAATAGATATATTTAACAGATTTTACTAAGTTGGCAAGTTGTATATATTTAGATCTCTGTAATTCTGCATGATACGTAGTTACAGAGATTATAAATGTATGCAATTACGATGTATATATATACAATTATATTTTAAAACTGATATACTACTTACTATATTACAGGAACTTGAGAGAATATGAAATATTTTATACATATAATATAGATAATATTTAAAGACGCATACAAGTATTTTTTTATATTTATGATAACATTAAATGTCATAACTAAGACTTGTAGCAGTGTTTATAATAAAGTGCATCTAAGAATTTTCTCATGGAATGTTAATTTATATCAAATCCGTATAAATTCCTTAATCTGATACCTTTTAACTTTACTGACATCTTTTTAAAACTGTCAAATTGTTAAATTAGTAGCTTTACTCTTTATTCAACAGATTTCCACCCTCTATGAGACACAGTGTACCACTACTTGTCACTTGTCACGTTAATCTCTCAACAATCATAGATGCATAGACATCTAGATGTGCACATCTCGCGCGCGCGCGCGAATACGTCCAAACTTGGTATAACTTCATATCTTAAGGCGCGTTTATAAACCAAAGGTATTTATGACGTCTATTATGTTGTTGAGGACGCGTTTTAAGGCAAAGGGCAGCGCAGGCGCGTTGTCATCGCGGTGCGTCAGTAGCGCACTCTAAAAACAGTCGAGCCGAAGATGGCGACTTGTGAGCGGCGGTGTTCGCGCGGTGTTTAGGTCGGGAGAGAGTAAGAGAGGGTACCATGTTGCCGCGGTCGCAGTGTCCGCAGTGTTTCTGTGATCCGCGTTAGGCTCGGTGCAAATGTAGGAATGTCAGAGGCGAAACGGGTACCCCTGCAGACCCTGGAGTTCCCGGAGTCCCTGGGCCACGCGACGAAGAAGGAGAAAAAGGGGAATATGGGCAAGCAGCTCGCGCCCTCCTTCCGCTTCACGCTCACCCTGCCTGAGTCGAACGAGAAGACATGCCCCGAGTTCAACTATGCACAGCTCCTCAAAACGGCCGAGGTGAGATTCCGTGCGATTAACTTGTTCCCGTCGTGGCAAAAGGGGAAAACAAAAGACCGTATGTGTCAAGTCCGTGACACGCGGCGAGAACATACGGAGAGAGGAGAGAAAGAGAGAAGAGAAGATCGTGCGCGTGTATCTATTGACGGGAAATATCACGGAGAGATAGCGATTACGAAAAAGCGCGAGAAAATTGCTCGTGACGTTCGACCGCTTCGGCGCGTCGCTGACGCGTTTGTCACGCGGTTCGTTTTCGCGCGACATGTGCTGGTCGCTCCGTCATCGCATCTATCCGCATAACGTAAAGACGTCGTCGACGCGATGGCTGAGAACGGGCGAAAACGGCTCCTTGATCGATTCGCGGTCCCCGCCGAGCCGAATCCGCGCGTTGTCAACGTCATCGTTGCGGGGCCAACATATGCACGAGGCTGTCACGAGGTTGCTGCGCCTCAAGTTTTGCGACTAAAGAGGATGCGCCTTTCTCTTTTTAGCGAAAACGCGGCATTCTTCTTCACGCGGCCCTTTTGCTCGTAAAACGTCTATACGAGAGTTGCCATTGCGCGACACCATCCGGCGTTTCATCTCTCTTCGTTTTTCTTCTCTCTCTCTCTCTCTCTCTCTCTCTTTCTCTCTCTCTGTCTTCTCGTGAAAAAGAAAGAGACACGGCGGCGACGGCGATGCCTTATTCGTTTGTGTGTAGCGTCTATGCCGGTCTATTTCGCAAGCCACGTATTCCCTTTCGTTAGTATTGTATGAAGAAGGAAGATAGATCGGAGAGAGGAAGAAAAAGAGAGATGGATAGAGAAATAGCGCGCGACATATGTCGTAAACGTGTGTGTGTCGCGCGGAGTCTCTTATTTCACGCGCGCGCGAGAGAGAGCATGTTGCGGGCTCTCTTTTCTGAATTGTAGATCGATGCACTGGAAGAGACTCGTGACCGCCGACACGTTTCAGATACGCCGCTTGAAACGTATATCATGCACTTTCGCGATCCACCCTTCCCCTCCCTTCCTTTCCTGATATATGTATATAAAATAGATAAAATTTAATCTAATCTGTCTTTTTTTTTTTTTGATAGTAATGAATAATTGATGCCGAAGTTTGTTCTTGTCGGGAAAGTACATAATAAATACATATCCGAAATAATAACAAGATAGATAATATTACATTATTTGAGGCATTTTTTCTAGCCTCTAATCGAACTAACGGTATTATTTATATGCATAGAGTATTATTTATAATATGGATAGTGTCACTCAATACATATGTATCGTCTAAGATTTCGGATATCCCGATACACATACACATATGTTCACATAATATGTATATATCCAAATGATTGATGGACAAACATTTAGGGCTATAAAGAAATGTATATGGTCCATATTGAGAGCATTAAGTATTTATAATTACTTTTGTGTTTTTCGCAGAATGCATGAGATTGTGTGACAAAATTTATCTAAAATATATTTATTAATATGTAAAAAAATAAAAAAAATGCACAAAGACGTGATTAATTGTAAGATTGAATTGTTGTTTCGGCATCTCTTTCTGTTCTGTTTTGGTCGCGCACGTGTTTCGAAAGCGCGGTACAAATCACCTGCGAATCTAATTTCGGAAAAACGAGGCGCGTACTTTGAAAATTTATAATGTAAAATTGCTCGGTAATCTTCACATTTAAAATTATTCTCGATGTTATATCATACAATTAAATGTAGAATAAATATTCGCAATTGAAAATTCAATAGATTTTATCTTGTCTTTATCTGATCTTGACAAAATTCCATATTTACAGATACATATTTAATGAAAGTGGTTTGCTTTATCAAATTGTTTCTCTCTTCCTCCCTTTCTCTCTCTGTTTATTATTTTCCGACCATATGGCACGCTACAATATGATATGCGCTCTTCTTTAATTTAATATTCTGCTTTAAATTTTGTCAATCTATTAAACGCGCGTGGAAACCCCGTTACTAGGTCAGGCTAGTTGCATGTTTTTGTTAAGAATTCCGACAATAATTGTGAAGCGATATGTTGCGAGAAAAAGATAAAGCGATATATTATGCAGTTAGCAATACATTTCATTGATTGATTGATTGAATAATTAATTCGGACGCAGTTGATAAAATTGATTCGAACGAGATGTCTGTGTTAAAGTTAAAGATAATCGTTTCTCGAATATCAACAATTGCATCGTTGGCAAGATCAATCACTCGATTCAGCGTCCCAGTATCAGGCAATCAGGAGGCCACAAGAGGTGGTTCGCGACCATGACGCGTACATACAAAAGAGTGTGAAAGTACAAGGACGATGCTTTAGTTGCTGTATGTGCTCCTGGTATCGGTGAACACATCGAGCACCCTTTCAGAGACAATTCATATCTCCTTTTTTTTTTAGAATTATTTTACCTTCTCTGTTGTATTCGAGAGACTTTTATGCGTTTTTGTTCTTTTCATATTTTCGTAAATTGAAACATGTTTTATTATTATATAAATATATATGTATAAATGTTTGTGTGAGTCAGATGTTAGTATGGACGTATGGAATGGGAGCTTGCACATAAATGCAACATGTTAAATTAGATGCAGTATATTCTCTCTGATCAATCTAAATTTTTTATAAATTAGTGAAAATGATAGAGAGAGAATCGAGAGCGCGCAATTTATTATTGATAATGAGTCTGGTTTGCGAGCGTATAATATTATACTCGATAGCAGTTACGAATGAATATATTTATTCTGCAGAAAAAACGAAGAAAAGATCAAAAGGATGGGGATGAAAATGCGACCAACGGATTGGACCCATACGATGATGATGATGAGGATAAGCTTAGAGACATGGCAAAACGATTCGAAGCGAAATATGTACGTTGATATGCATAAAATTGATTTTGATCGAACCTACAAATTCGATTTTAATATGTATGTTGCATTGATTTTTAGGGAACATCTACTACGGGGAAAAAAAAGCACAAATACGATGAATACGTGGATTTAGGCGCAGGATATGACGAAAACGATTCCTTTATCGACAATACTGACGCTGTATGTGTAAAGTTTCTATTTTTTATATATAATTTCGAAAAGATAAATTTTTTTATATATAATTCTGTTAATATTTTTTTGATAGTATGATGAAATCGTACCCGAAGAAATGACTACAGCGCACGGAGGTTTCTACATTAATTGTGGGGCCCTTGAATTTAGAGCAGCTGATAGACATACGTTAGTTCATAATAATAATAATAACAACAATAGTGACGATGAGGAAAGCAGCGAAAGCAGCGAGGAAGACACCGAAGATGTAGATAGCCCTAAAAGAATAGATAAGCGAATCATTAGTTCATCTGATGACGATGAGACAGAGGATATTACCAGTGATAACCCGCGAAAAGTAATTGAGAAATATATGATATTAATTATCGTTAGTTTTCTTAAATTTGACTTTGAATAACATAATGGTTTTTTTTTTTTTTAAAGGATTTGAAAAAGCGTATCCAAGTTAATATACTAAACAAAGTCGTGTGAATCTCTTAATCCACTTATTTCTCATAATTTAGCGTTTTCTTTGGAAATAATACATTAAAAAACGAATTTTTGAGAATAAGCAGACAAGCATATTAAATTTTTTAAAGGATTTATGGCATTTTTTAGTTGCTCAAATTTATTTTTTTGCGTTTCATTTTCTCCATGTATCGTCTTTTTTATAAATTATTTTATAAATTTACAAGTTTGTTACATTTGTTTGTTTGCTATATTCGATATATATGCTATGTTCGATAGAAAAAAATTATTTGATGCATCATCGATTCATACACGCGACATAGAATGTGCACACACATCGCGCGGTTCATCGTCTTTCGAGTCGTTGGCGTATTGAATCATTCTTATTTCCGTTTATATACGTATTGCCTCGACGATTGTAGTATCTCCCATCGACGTCACGCGGAGAAAATTTATATCCACCTCGAGAGATATTCCGAGATATTCCTCTCTGTCTTCAGGATCTCCATTCTTTTTCACGCACATGCCTATGCATTCTTTACACACAATATATACATACATATATATATATATATATACGTAACTCATGTATCTTATTGTACATGTATTTGTTTCAGATGACTTGGCTATTGATTATCAGTTTACATTTAACTTAAGCAAGAAGGAGGATCGTCACTATCGGGCCATTAATTTCAAAAACTCACCACCGAAAGCCGATATCGATGCCGAATTCTCCATCACGTGTTCCGTACTTGCTAAGATGTATATATATATATATTGTTTGACTTTCATAAATTATTGTCGACGACGTAGACGAATGCGATCGCATAAATCCAATCGCACTCTCTTTGTCTCCTTATCAGCCACGAATGCGAGTAGGAAAATATTACGTTCGTTTCGATGTACTTTCCTCGCGCTGTGTGCTGCTATACGATAGATACAGAATCGTATGCAATTTTATCTTAGATACTTCGAAAAAAGAAATTGTAGACGAAGTAAAATACATAGTTGAGAATCTAAAGTTGAAGAAATTAGGGTAATAAAGCTAAAGATGGGAGTCAAAGCCTTACTAACTTATCAAGAATATCGCGATAACGTAGTAATTTTTTTATTAGTTATATATATTTTCAAAATTTACCTATTATACTGACTTTTTAGTTTGCTCTGATTTATTTTTTTTTTTTTTTTTTTTTTTATATAGAGACGGAAAGTTGAAGAAAGCGGTGAAAAGAAAAGTAACCACGAAAATAACAAAAAACGGAAAAAACCATCAAATCATCAAACTCAAGATGCACAACAAAATTCTCAACAAGATTTAGATCTTTTGAGACGGAAAGAGAAGAATGAGACTACAGATGCTGAGGGTGGCACAGGTATAATTTCTCATTATATATCGTTCTTATTCTAGTTATTAAAAATATCCGATTTACATGTATTATGTGCGAAATAATTTTATGATTTTAGCTTCAGAAGATCAAGAGGAGAAGAAAAAGCCCGATAAATTAGAAAAAAATAAGATAAATGAGAAAAAGTTTGATCTAAAGAAATTCGAGAAGAAATCGTCCAATAGTAATGGATACGATGCGAAAAAAATAGATTTAAAAAGATTGTGTGGTAAAGATAGCAACATTGACGATGCGATAGAAAGCGTCGTCAACGCAGCTAGAGGAGTCGAAGATGATTCGAGTCGTGATACAACGGATTCGGGAAAATCTCGCGTTTGTCTTTATGTCGAATCTGACGGAGAGGAGATAGAAAATAAAGAAGCGTCTTTGCCTGAAAATCTTCCCGAGGATATAAAAGAAATAGTGAATAAATTAAAGGTTCAAGCGGAGAACAGCAAAGACAGCAAGAGCAAGTTTTTCAATAGCGCGATTAACGAAGTACTTTTTAAGTAAGTTTCTATGTTATATATAAATTTTAAAAATTACGAATCCTGAAAGATATTCTAAGACTCGTTACTTTTTACAGTCTAGAGAAGAAACTACGAATGTTGAATTTGCCTAGCATAAGATTACAAACTTATGGTCATCTAGTGCGTTTTTTGCCCTGTAGCAAGATTACTCTTCTCAGTAGGGCTAAGAAGCTTTATTTAAAAGATGCTGAACACAGAGTGAATGAACCGATGCAAAAGTAAGATTGCAACTGTGTATATATATATATATATGTTATAAGCTTTTTTATAGAAAAACTTCTTGACTTTTTAGTTTGCTTTTATAGTTTCCTTATTCTAACTACAGTTAATTGCAGAAACGCGATGGATTTTTATTTAAATTTTATATCGAACATATTTTTTTGGCTCGTGATAGGCGGGAAGCGCATGAAATATGCGCAGCGAGGGGCGACGAAATTTACGCGATTTTCGCGCTCACGCAACGATTTCGCTCGCACTAGCCATTGTGCTCGCGGAACATCCCCGTCCATTGTTGTACATAACGTCGCTGGAGCAGAAGCGGCGCGGCTGGAAAATTACGAGGGAGCTTTCTCCACCTCCCTTTCCGTGCCTCCTACTCTCTTCCGGTTACGCTAGTCGGGACGAACAATGACCTGGAAAAGCTCAAGAAAGCTTTAAATCGCGACTGTACGCCCAGAGACCAGCACTCTGTACTTCTCGTCGTCGCGATTTCAAATGGTAGAGGAAAGAAAGAACGTGTGATATCGCGCAAGAATACCGTAAAAATACCGCGATATAATAACACGAAATCAGATAATACTTTTGCGAGGTGATTTAATCATATAAGCTCATTCTTGAAAATCCACTTTTATAACCATTGCCTTATCCACGCGCGATCATCTGTGCAGTCTAAAATCACAAACGTTTTACTCTCTGAAAAAAACATTAGCCAGTATTTTTAAAGCGTCACCAAACTTCTCAGTTTTCCTTCCCCGAGCACGAAATCCGCTTTACCGCCCTCTAAAATCGCCGCCGATGGGATTGTAACTTTTGTAAAAGCTTTCAGTTGATGTAGATCGTTAAAAAGTCTTATGTACGAACGAAACGTAACGCGACGAAACGGCTAAATACAGGCTGTATAAATCCTGAACCCGATGAAAATAATCCTCTGCTCGAGACAGATAAGCGTTGTTGCATATCGCGCGCCGGGGGAAATGTGCGCGACGTGCTGCCGTTGTGTAAGCGGACTAAGGGGATTGTGCAACCATCGAATGGAGGTAATAATAAGGTCGTGGGCACGGTGAATCCGGTAACTCTTGCGCCGCGCATTCACCGTCCGCCGTTTATTATCATGAGCGACGCGCGCGAGAGAGAAAGAGAGTCTATGCATTCAGTGCGATGTATTGTGTAAAATATTGACGAAAACTTACGTAAATCGTACCCCGTAAATTCAATGTTTACGCGCGGCGAAGATTAAGATTTTATCGGTCGCGCAAATTCGCGGGATTTTATACATCCGCGTGAATTTTAATCGCGAAAAGTCGTCGACAGCTTTAATCTCACCCTTATCGAGCGCGTTTCTTTTTTGGTTTAAAATATAATATCGCGGTCGTGTGGATGTTTCAAGCTTTCGATGTCAGAGGATTCTTCTCGCGGCGATAAATTAACGTTAATCGCCGCCGGGTGATTACAAAAGTTTGGACACGCGCGAAATTTTCGCCTTAAATTATTCCACAAAATGAGAATTCAAGACGAAAGAGTTAAGCGCGAAAAGAGTAGCCGGCTTTTACCACGCGATCACCACGATGGTAAAACGTTCCTATCCTTCACTTACGTTTACTTTGTTCCATTTCGGTCCACTTTAGTCCAATTTGTCTAACGTCCATTTTCCGCCAAGCGCCGTCTTAAACAAGGTAGAAAAAAAATATAGTAAAACTAACTGGAACCCTCTTTTGCGCGCATTTCTTTTGCGGACGTCCGGTTTTGCCGCAATATTCTCTCGGGACTGTTTTCGTCTCGTTGGAGAAATAGGAAAAAGAGGATAAAATTACAAAAGAAGGCGAATGAAATTGCGCTGCTTGGCCAGCAAACTTGATTACTAAAGCAATTAAAATCAGTCAGGTTAATAAAACCATGTCAAATGACATTCGAATTTGATGGAATATATAAATTATTTCTTATATTTAAAAAAATTCCGATTTTGGCAAAATTTGTTAACTTTGCAGATTAAAAGCACTGATTGATAATGTCATGCCATCAGTTATGGACAAATACATGAAGGAGTGTCAGAAAGTTGCTGATGAAAAGTGAGTAGTTTTATTATATCTCATGCATATTTAATGATTCGATATATTACAGCTTTTATTTTTAATTTTTGCAACAATGGTATATACTATTTTTACTTTAATGATAGCTTATTTTGTTAATAATGAAAACTATCAGTTTGAATTATTAATATTAAATATAATCTTGAACATGTAATTGAATAGAAAAAAAAATCCAGTTTTCCAGCATTAGTACATATAAATCTACAGTTTATAATTTCTTAAATATAAACTTATTGTAATTTTTTATTTCTCAGTCCTCAATTATACTGGGAGATATATCGGTACTGTTGGTAAGGCGCCCCTCGTAAGAGGAAACCCTTTCTATGCTCGCCTCTCCGACTGCTCTTTCTCTTTATCTTCCTCCTCTTTTTTTGCTGCCTTTTATTTTTTTTCCCTTAATCTATTCATGCTTATATGCTTTTGCTCTCTTAATTATTGATCAAACATCCAATCAATTATGTTCTCATATGGAGGAAAAGACATTTTATTACTTAACCATCATTATTCTTCTCATCACGTTATTGAGAAAGCAGAGGAAGATGCGGGGCTTTTTATCATCAGTATCAGTGTTTAGTTCTCATCACTAGCATCATCTTTTGTATCAACCGAAAAAAAATTATGCATTTGACATGAGACATAATTCAATGATTAGGCGATTTGATCATATATATTATTATCAAAAAGAAGATTAAGATCGAGGAATTCTGTCACAACAAATGCTAATCATCATTCTTTGTCATCGCGATATCATGAAATTTTGTAACGACATTGCCTTGCCTAGCCTAACCAAAACCGACATTGCCTTGCCTAGCCTAACCAAAACCGACATTGCCTTGCCTAGCCTAACCAAAACCGACATTGCCTTGCCTAGCCTAACCAAAACCGACATTGCCTTGCCTAGCCTAACCAAAACCGACATTGCCTTGCCTAGCCTAACCAAAACCGACATTGCCTTGCCTAGCCTAACCAAAACCGACATTGCCTTGCCTAGCCTAACCAAAACCGACATTGCCTTGCCTAGCCTAACCAAAACCGACATTGCCTTGCCTAGCCTAACCAAAACCGACATTGCCTTGCCTAGCCTAACCAAAACCGACATTGCCTTGCCTAGCCTAACCAAAACCGACATTGCCTTGCCTAGCCTAACCAAAACCGACATTGCCTTGCCTAGCCTAACCAAAACCGACATTGCCTTGCCTAGCCTAACCAAAACCGACATTGCCTTGCCTAGCCTAACCAAAACCGACATTGCCTTGCCTAGCCTAACCAAAACCGACATTGCCTTGCCTAGCCTAACCAAAACCGACATTGCCTTGCCTAGCCTAACCAAAACCGACATTGCCTTGCCTAGCCTAACCAAAACCGACATTGCCTTGCCTAGCCTAACCAAAACCGACATTGCCTTGCCTAGCCTAACCAAAACCGACATTGCCTTGCCTAGCCTAACCAAAACCGACATTGCCTTGCCTAGCCTAACCAAAACCGACATTGCCTTGCCTAGCCTAACCAAAACCGACATTGCCTTGCCTAGCCTAACCAAAACCGACATTGCCTTGCCTAGCCTAACCAAAACCGACATTGCCTTGCCTAGCCTAACCAAAACCGACATTCTAATAAATAAATTTATTTCCCCCAAAAAAAAAAAAAAAAAAAAAAAAAAAAAAAAAAAAAAAAAAAAAAAAAAAAAAAAAAAAAAAACAGATAAGTGAGTCCAATATAGGTGATTCAAATCATAAGTGTAGAAGAAGAAATGCCATATATGACAAAAAATAAAAGGAGCGGGATAGCGCAAAAGTTGAATGTAGCTAATGCATTTAAGAAGGTCATACTGAGAGGCTGCAAGAGTAAGTTGGGAATAATAATGAAAATTAATTGCGAGTACGCATATCCTCTTCGAAATTCGAGAGTATTATAACTCGAAAAAACCGGCGTAAGAGCCGGACAAGTGGGCGGCAAGAATGGCGGTCGTAATTAAAGAGTTTTCTCTCGAAAAGCAATCATTCGAGACTCATTTGGTGAAGCGCGAAGTAGGAATGTGGTCTAATGAATGGCTTTTGCTCGGGGTTTTAAATTACTGGTAACCATAAAGGAAAGAGCACATCGTTAGAGTTTGATTTTGTGCACAGCGTAATATAATCTATCCACACTTTTCGTTATTAATTATCGTGTAAATCCGAGAACGCCCTTTTCCTTCCCAATTTTACGACGTTTATTCAGTTGGAATTAGAAGCAACTGTATATCTTTTTTATTTTTTACGGTTTTTAATCCCTAACAAAATAATGTAATGAAAGAAAGTTAAATCCGGTAAATGTTGCCGAAAGAAGATACCTGAAGATTTAGATAAGTAATGAAGTTGGTAATCTTCTGCTAATCATCATTCTTTGTCATCGCGATATCATGAAATTTTGTAATATTATCTTTGTTCGAATGTAATCGATCAATCAATTTCAGGGGCTTTGAAGGATCTCCTGCAGATGCAGAGAGTAGCGATGACGAAGATGGTTCCTCTAAAAATACAGAAAAACCGAAAATACCACGAAAACGATTTCCATGGACTGATGAAGCCAAGTACATTATAAAAAATATCACTTATGTGTTTATTCTATTACTTGTATTTACATATATAAATATAAATGTTCATTTCAGGAAACTAGTCCTTGAAATTGCTAATGCCAGGAGACATTATTTCAAAATTCTCAGACCAAGAAAGGAGAGTATGGAATCGTTTGTTGCCACCTTTATGGATACTAATGTTTTGCCATTGTGGCCAACTGGTTGTGTACGATTGCAGACTTTGTTAAAATATGCTAGTCCTGTTGAACCTGTGTAAGTACTACATTACAGTGTTACTATATATTATATTTATTCTCTCTGATATATGTATATATATATATACATATATCAATTTATCTCTCTCTATAAATGTGTGATAAGAAGACTTTTGCTATTTGTGCTTTCCTTTGCGCATGAAATTACCCTATTGTAGTTTTTTTCATTTTCACAAAGGTGAAAAGAATATGTATGCATACCTGAAAAGAGTAAGATCCTTGAAGATTTATTTTATTAATTTCTTTGCAAATTTCGCGATTTGAAGCGAAAACCAAGAGATTTGGCACATTATCCTCATATGATGTCAAGTAGTTAATCGATCGCTTCATCATTTGATCATTGTATGTTTTAGGTGATTGTAGTGGATTAATACTGAATTTCTACTTCTTCACTCATTAACGGATTCCTAGAAAAAAGTCGTATTCTGCAAGAATCATATTCAATTTAATGCATTTGTGTAGACTATGAGATTGACTCGTATGCAAATATTTAATGTCAATACCAAATTGTTTCTTTTTTTCGACTGCTTCCTTAATTTCTTATACATTAGCAAAGATCGCTCAAATTATTTGTATTTAGCATAAACACAATTTTTATTTTATTATTATTTATTTATTTATTTATCATTAAATATGTACACAACAAAATATTTTACGCTTTTGTTTGTTATTACACACACAGCTTGGCTTTTTCCTAATATTTATGCAATCCTTTGATGTCGGTATTCATATATTGCTGTATATCAATGAATTAATATGATTTTAGCATTAAGAAGAAATTGAAAAAATCAAAAGAACTGGCCAATGCAAATAATGTTGCCACTTCTGGGAATATTCAAATTTGCAATTCCGTTGCAAAGAATGATATGGCAAACGCGAATAATGTTCCATCTCAAGAAAGCGAAAAGACAAATGTATCCAAAATTCAAATTAGTGGTGAAAATTCAACGAACTTTGCAAGTCAAGCGATAGCGAAATCTAACGACATCAGTGCCGATAAAAAGCAACATAGTAGTAAACATAAAGATAAACATGTGGATAATAATGCGAGTCAGCAACAGGAAAGCGCTATTGTCACCATTAATAATTCTACAGTTGGAAAAATTTCCGTCGTACCTACAGCACAACTAATGGCTCAAAAACCAGCTAAGAGTCATATTGAAAAATTTAATCTCATGGATCTAACCAGCAGCTCTCTATCCATCACACCTGTTAATGATTATCATAAATCATCAGCAAAAACAACCGAAACGAAGAAGGATGTAGTTTCCATTACAGCATGTCCGGAACCCGTGAGTCATTCTAAACCAAACGAAATTTCTCAAACTGGACATCATTCCATGTATAGACAAGATTCCTATTCGTCAGCACAGGTATTGAAGCACAGGTTCCTGCAGGAGAATGCTGACGCTAAATGCGAAAAGAGATTAGACGATAAAGATGTTGACACGATGGTTAATAAGACTGACAAGAAGGACAAGAGAAGGGAGCGATGTGTAGAGGTTAAGCACAAATTGTCACACGACCCGAAAAAAAGGAAGAAGGATCAGAAGGTGATTGAGATAGGGCCTATTACCCAAGATGTAGTGCCTATGCCACAGCAAACGACCCTTTCAAAGGAGGAACAAGAACAAAGACAAAATGAGGAAACGATCGCTGCAACTAATTTCCTCAGCCAGATCATAAATGATGATTCTTCGCCGCGGGGATTAACGGATAAACGGAAAGACGGTTTTATTACAGATGATGCTTTAGGAAATATGGTACAACCGACAGAGCAGGAAAAAGATGTTCAGATGGTAATGAGATCGTTAAAGGAATTGCAAGAGTTACAAGAAATGAAATACTCCCCCAGTAATTCGCCAGTCAGTAATACCACTCAAAAGCCTGGTAAATCAAACGCATCGTACATTACTTATCAGGAGGAATATCAACGATTATACCTCAAGAAGGAGGATAAGGTAAGATCTAAGGAAGAAGCGCAATGGTAAAAATGATATCCGTTTGAAGCGTGAATTATGAACACTTGCGACGATTAGTTATTATTTTCACGAGAGATAATAGGCGGGACTCTCGATATTTATATAATTGTTTCTTTTCATATAAACGATTGAGCGAAAGCTGACCGGAACTTCTTCCATTTATACGCCACTATTGGTGAAAAAGAGCATGCAACAGTCGAATATAGCAATCATATTGTGTGCGGCGTAAGAATTTTGAAATATTTTCAAATAAAAACCGCCAAATTATGTATATAATTCGCTAGCGGTAGTGTCGGTTGTATATGTACAGAGCAACTATAAATTATAAAACTCTAGAGTATTCGAAAGAAGTGCGAAGACTGAGCGAACAACGAGTGAACAGCAAACGTGAAATTATATATATTTAAAGTTTTCTTTCATGTATTACTTTATAATCAGACATGAATTAAATGCTACCGAAACATTTTGTTTGCATTCGTTTTGGCATATGTATTTGTAAAACATCTGTAACGAAAATTGTCACACTTGCTGTTCGTTTCTAATTCGTTCAGTGTACATACATTTTAATAAATATCTGTATATAAGTGAGCAGCGCGTCCAATCGTCTCCGTGAATTGGGTGGTCTACATAAATTTTATTTTCATTCATTCGACGAATCGCCTGATTTTTTTATTGTGATTTTTTACCGATTATCCAGTAACTGATGTCTATATAATATTCTCAGCTACGCATATGACACTTTGTTTTAATTATAAACATAGGCATTAAGTGCTTCCTTTTTTTTTTAATAAATACTGCCACAATGTGGGAGGGGCGGATTATTAATGTAATACAGTAACCGTTTACTTTATATCTTATATTTTTTGACCACCCTGTGTCACAGAGCGAGAAAAAGGTGTATATTGTTCCTTTTTGCGTTTCAACTGTTATTATCATCATAATATATGTTATACGTCAACAAAGAGGGAGAACAAAGTTCAATTTGGAATATATGTTCTGAAAATTTAATGAAATTATATTATTGCCTTCCAAATTTTTATGGATAAGAAACAGATAAGCGATTGTATGGAACTAATCAAAATGAAACCATAGTATCAGATTTCTGTTATTGCAAGAGTAAAAAGTCAAGGTACAATAAGATACTTCCACTATATTATCTTTATGCTGAATTTTTTTTTTTTTAACATCACAATAAAATATTTGTATCTTCAACACTATAGAGTGTTGGAGGATGGAGTGCGATTATTATTAGATTAGTTCAAGAATGTATGTGCGAGCATTTATTGCTTTCTCAATTGCAAATTTGTGTGGCTTGTATACGGCTTGACTGAGTAATAGACATAATAGATAGTGTGGAAGAGGAGAGAGGAGAAAAGAAAGAATGCAAAAAAAATAGAGAATGCCAGAGAGTAATGTTTGAAGAGAGAAAGAGAGAGAGTGAGAGAGACAACTAGATTATTTTTGGAACACATAAAGATGACGACTAGTACTGTATTATATACCATATACCTTACCCTCCTCCCCTCCCATTTTACCCTTATGATACTTAGAATACGGTTAAACGTCTTGTACAATTCCGTATTGAGAATTTTCACTAAGACGACTTTTAAAATATAAGTTTTGAATATTTTTTACAAAAGTTATACGATTTTTCTACCCTTTTCTTCAATATTTCATAGATTATTGTGATATATTGTGATATACATTATTAATGTCTCTTTTTATTACAATTTTTCTTTCTGTTTACAATTTATTCTGTTCACTGGTAAATACAGTATGCGAAAAGATCCAACGCTGTCATGAATAGTGTATATGTTAAAAGGGAAATCTCTGAAATTTTATAAATTGTACTTGCATTACTATTAATTATATTTTCTGTACAAGTTATTCTGTTGACTTACCAGAATTTTCTGCTTGTAAATTTAAAATGTTGTCATAAAATATAAAATGCATCATCGTTATATAAACGTTGATAGCATTCGTGCAAGTTCGAAAAATCCATTCGAATTCTGAATCTAATAATTTCTTCTCAATCATTTTATAATAATTATTACTCTTGATTTTTATTATTACGTTATGTCATTTTCCAAGACAATTTCAGAATGAAACAGAATGATTCGTTTGTTCTTTCGAAATTGCAAGATTTGCAACATATTTACAAAGTGTCCCGGAATCACCAAATGCATCGTGACACTTTTATTACAGAAATGAGATAGACTCCTCTTACAATTCGCACTTTGCCGAATATTATATTACCTGCAATTATTTTTATCAATTTATCTTAAAAATATTATCTAGCTAATCTTGTTTCTCATTCCATATTTATTTGCTTCTAGGATTTGAGTCGGCACCGATTGGAAAGGACAAAATCCAATCTCACACTGCCATATCCTGTATTATCAATCGTGTGCGCGTATTCAGAAAAAGTTCAGCCTATCGTCGAGCATCGTCGCTACGATCGCAGATGATCGTGACGTAACGCGACTCAGCGGTTCGAAGAGCAGGCGGGGGTGGCGGAAGGGAGGAGACGGCGGTCCGATGTGTGACCTTGCAGTGTTTGTAAACAGACACACGTTGCCGTCGCGAACTGTTACGAAGGATCGGCCATCGCGAATCACCCCGTGTTATTGTTCCCGAGAAGTGGCGTGCGAGGGGCGCGCGCGAGCTAGCAAATGGAGATGGAGCCGATGTGCATCGTGGAGAACGAGACGGTGAGTTCGCGACTTTTCAACAATCCATCGTGTGCGCTGATAATGTGCTCGCGCGTGACGCAAACCTGCCATAGGAGAGACGATAAATAATGTAATGAAAGAAAGTTAAATCCGGTAAATGTTGCCGAAAGAAGATACCTGAAGATTTAGATAAGTAATGAAGTTGGTAATCTTCGTCTGCTGAAACGGATTAAGAGTTATTTATATTTTAGAATAATCGCGTCGAGCGGATTTCGGGCAAACTTTTCAACATTCCGCATTTACACACTTGCAAATAAAATTTTAATAAAGTTAAATATATTTGGAGCTTTTGCGGCAAAAACCAGTTTTTAGTGAGAGTATCTGCCTTGTTTTAATTTAAAAGGGTGGATTAGTTTTTCGCGCATTTCCAACATGTTTCCACATGGACCTTAATGTCAGATTGTGCTTTGATTAGAAATTTCATTTTATAAAATTAGCATAATTCGAATTTAGATACTTACTTTAAATATACATGTAAAATGACTTTATATTTATTCACAGCACAGTCTTGTGTAAATTATGTTTGCCTACATAATATATTCCACTTTTACCTAATTATTTTTTAATCCAGCGACTATTTTAATTTTTAACGTTATATATATCTTTTAACGGAGTCGCATAGTTTAAAATTCTGTTAAAATAGAGTTTGCTGGTAATAAACTAAGGAGATTAAATACAATTTTCTCATTCGTCTTATCTTCTGAAACTTGCTTAGTCAGAACATTCGCGTTCTAAATCGTTAATCGCGCGTAAACTATATAAATATCTTAATAATTTTATTCGATAAAAATTTTTTTTTTCGCGTTGAGTTTATCGCTAAAGAATACATACGGCGAAAATTATATATCCCGTAGATCTGTAACAGAAATTTAATACCTCCGAAAGATTATATACCGACTCTGATATCTCTCAGATTAGCGTTAACGGACGTCAGTACATTCGGTCTGAAGGTGTAAGGGTGAATCATATGGCAGCGGCGAGAATCGTGTCGCTGCATCTCCGCTAGATATTGTGCGCAATATGCTTTACGGGCATCCGTCCACCGGTGCAGCGACGCAGTATCGAGCATCCGGTAACCGTGGCAAGACAACGGTTAAGGGTTCCCATTGAAGTGTGTTCCAGCTTGATTAATGTTAAAGCGGGGGGGGGGGATATACGCGTAATGTCTTAAGTCTGGCCGTTGAACACTATCAATGTTTATACGTATTTTCTAGTTAATCTTCTTTTAGTCCCTCTTTTTAGTAATAAAAAATCTATTTTGTATGTATTGGATGATTGAGTACATTCGGTCTGAAGGTGTAAGGGTGAATCATATGGCAGCGGCGAGAATCGTGTCGCTGCATCTCCGCTAGATATTGTGCGCAATATGCTTTACGGGCATCCGTCCACCGGTGCAGCGACGCAGTATCGAGCATCCGGTAACCGTGGCAAGACAACGGTTAAGGGTTCCCATTGAAGTGTGTTCCAGCTTGATTAATGTTAAAGCGGGGGGGGGGGATATACGCGTAATGTCTTAAGTCTGGCCGTTGAACACTATCAATGTTTATACGTATTTTCTAGTTAATCTTCTTTTAGTCCCTCTTTTTAGTAATAAAAAATCTATTTTGTATGTACTTTAAAGTAATGTGACCGATACAAGTGCAGAAAATGTATCCATAAAAGATAATAACATTTTTACTTCGCTGCTTTTAGGGCAAATACGTTTTTTCTAGACGAGTTAGCTTCCGTAGCAAAAAGCACGCTGTGTCTGAAAGCTGTGTGAAAGCATTATACGCAGAAGGGCTTGCAGATTATGAAGCAGACTATCTATTTTTATTTTTTTGCCATCATCGTAAATCAATTCAAAAAGAGTGTTATCTTAAAAAAATATTAATTTGTGGGGTATAATTTTGAAATTATTGATTAGAAGAGTATTGCATTTTTCTACAATATTCCTGAAGAAGAATTTTGTGTGTATAGAGCATTTCAGCTTCTACTACTCTTGGAAAATCAGAGAATATTGATAATACGCTAATAAGTATTTTTCCCCATGCAAATACAAATTAGAAAGATTAAAATAGATATTGTCTTCTCGGAAATTTATACTGGCCGTGTCCAATTTTCTGTAATAGCATCAAATAATCGGGTTTTACATAATTGAAATTACTTTTTAAACGAGAAACATTGCATTGCCGTGCTTGTGCTGATAACAATGAGAAACGTTAGAAAAATATCATAAAATTTTATGTTCATACGACGGGAGCTTGCGTTTCGCCTCCGATAACTGACGATCGTTAAAATCGCAAGCGCCGTGAAAATTTTACGTGTAAGTAGAAATCGATTGTATGTATGAAATTCGTGCACGCATGTTGACATGTGGCGTGGATGAGAAAAATATCATTGAGAGATTTATTGCATATTTTTATTTTATGCGATAATATATCAACAAAATGTAATGTCCGATTGACATATGTTTCAGAAGGCCATCAATTCAAAAATGTATTATATGTTTATATAATGCATGTTTCTTTCAATAAAAAAGTATATTTCTCTCTATTTTATAATAACATAGCAATCCAAATGCTTGTTTCATTGATGATATAACCAGACAGATTCTATAAAATCGATAGGAATTTGATTGAGAAACATGCAAATATGCAAATTAGGTTTCAGATTTTAATATTCTATTTTTAATTTGTTTTTTCCATTTCTCTGTACATAATACCGAGAGACATTCTCATTCCGAGAGGCATTTATATGATTATGATGCAAAGAGACGTAATCAGAATGCGCAGTTTCGCATATTGATAACCATCAGATATACTTTATGGAAATTTTCCGTCAATGCGATACTACTCTATCCTGGCACGCCATTTACTGACGTATTATGCACGCGCCCGCACTTATTCCGCATGTTGCGGAAACGTTTTCCACGTCGGAACGACGTTCGTAAAATGGTCGATTGTCGAACTCCGGAAACGAATGGATTGTTTCTTCATCGATCGGATGTACGTCGATCAGATCGTCGATAGATTGTCGTATGCAGGGAAAGGAGTCGAATTTGGAATATATGTATACGTTCGCGGGCGTGTCTCTGCGGTTAGGATGTGGTTGCGTGTGTGTGACACGATATAGACAAGGAAGTAGACGGAAATGTCAGCGTCAGCGAATGTCTGGCAGATTCCGAAAGGGTTTATAGCCGTGGATCGTCTCTATTCGATGACCTAGATACGATTTCATACGGTGATTGTAAAGACATTCGACGATTTATTTTATTTCTGAACTTATTTTTTCTTATATTAAAGATGTTATATTCTGATTAACTTATAATAAGTAGTTTAATAACAAAACTTGTCATAAAACTTTGAAGTGACAATCATCTATACTTTTATAAACAACTCTTTAAAGATATTACATTTTTTCAAGTATCCATATCTTTAATATCGAAAAGAAAATTTATGCAAAGAATACTTGATATAGACGATGATTCTTCAGCAGTTATTTCAAGTCTTCTTTTATTCGCGATTCTTTGTAGCAGGCTATTATGATAGACTAATTATAAGATATCCTTTATTTTTGACTAGCGGCAATTTGCAATTGACGTTACGCGTGTTCTCGCATATTTCTACTTGGCATCTTGCAATTGTTAATTAAAAATTTGTTTTATATATTGAAACAAAACAATACAAACTTACATAATTAACATTTAATATAGAAAATATTTAAAAATATGTAATATTGTCATTTACATAGTGTTAATTTGTTTACAAGTTTAAATTAAAATTCTATTTAAATGAAATTGGTTTTAATTGAATTGAAAAGTAATCTCTTTATATCTTAGAAAAAATTTAATCATTTTCTATTTTGGAACTTTGGGACTATGTTAAATAGATTTTTATTATTTAATCTTGCAGTGTTTGTAAACAGACACACGTTGCCGTCGCGAACTGTTACGAAGGATCGGCCATCGCGAATCACCCCGTGTTATTGTTCCCGAGAAGTGGCGTGCGAGGGGCGCGCGCGAGCTAGCAAATGGAGATGGAGCCGATGTGCATCGTGGAGAACGAGACGGTGAGTTCGCGACTTTTCAACAATCCATCGTGTGCGCTGATAATGTGCTCGCGCGTGACGCAAACCTGCCATAGGAGAGACGATGGTTCTTGCGTGCGCGCTCGGCGGGATTACACCATGTTGTGTAAAGAGGGCGCGCGATGGATTTTAGACTCGTTTTTAGCATTTCGAGCATTAGCGTTTGCTTTATTTGAACTAATCGCATTGTTCTGACATCGGGTGGTAGCGGGGCACCCCAGTTCTCGTTGACGGAGGTCGCGGGGCGGTGGAAGGTAGGCGGGGGCGCGCGGGCGAGGGGTTGCTGTTTAGCTGGCCGATATTTTGTTCGTGCGGTCAACCTGGCGCCTGACTTAGCTTGGCATTTTTCGCGACAGATGGCGCGGTCTCTCGTTCGCGTTTGCGATCTCGCGCCGAGCGATGGCGCTGGCTCACTCCGCGAGTTCGCCGGTTGGAGTTACATGTATCGCGACCGTGATTCAAATTCTCGTTTCTGCTCAAGTAATGTAGGACGCTGGAAGTTTTCGTGGCTTCGTGAAAAGTTCGCGCGCATTGTCTTTCGCGAGTGTCTTTCGTAAAGAGTGAAGTTGAATGTTCGTCGTTAACGCAATCGATACAAATCACGGTCAGTCGTGAAACGCA